GGTATTCCTACTTATCAAAGGTTTAACGCAACTATCTTATTATAGACCTTACATATAAATTTATACCTATATAAACCTGTATATAAATTTAAATATATCTTTTTTATGGGTTCTGTGAGTTCTATCTAAAGATAGAAGTAAGGGGAAGAGGAAAGAATATTACATGGGATATAAATATTCATCCACTGGTTTTCTGATGATTTCTGAAACAAACACAAATTACAAACAATATAATAAAATGTGATAAAATTATTCATTCTACAATTAATAATTATTTTCGGATACGACTCACACACATTTAGCAATATTTATTGCTCTCCTTTTACTCAGTTCCATTACTTAATATCATTCCACTCAGCGACCCCTTTCATACTCACAGACACACGTATCAAAATTCAAGATAAAGGATTACGATAATCTACAAATGAATAAATCTGTAACAAACTTATATACTAGATTAGTAATTATGAAAGCAATGAAGGCTGAAAGAAAAATATGTTAGTCACAAAAAATCACGTTGTCTTATACATTTATACTAAAATGAAACTAGTTAATGAATATTTTATGAATAAAAAATCTGAAAATATAAATGAAAAATTATTCACGAATTCATTAGGATTTGTGCAAAGTAGATTCGAGCATTTATAAATATATACTGTACTGGTAAAAAATTTCCAATACAACTATCGCGAAAATTATGCATGCATAATGAGCATAATGAACAATCAGCATTACTGATTTTTCATCTTTCGCTCAACAATAAACTTTTCATTCTATTTACTTAAATAATACTCTAATAAACTGAAAATATACATTGACAAGAAGTAAGTATATTTTTCAACAGTAATTTCTGAAACAAACGCTGCGATAGTAAAGGGTGCTGAAAAAGAAAACGTGGTAGCCAGAAGGGATACCAATTTTCCACTGGATGAACCCGGGAAAACCGCGAGTGGAATATCCTTTCTATTTCGCAACACTAATTTGCTTCATTTATTTATGAAATAGAAATTTCTCAAAAACAATCGCGAAGAGTGCTTTATTTCAATTACAATGATAATTAATTTACAATCGACCAAAAAAAAAAAAAATAAAAAAAATAAAAAGAAGGGTAATCGCGGTAGCAAATATGGAATACTAATAAAAAATACTCTATGCACTCGTATTTAAAATTACGCAACACTACAAACGAAAGATTCAGGACCAACTAGGTCCAAAACAGCTGCTGATAGACCACGCTCGTGCAGCTCTTGTTGCTACAGCTGGTGATTACATAACAGGAACATTTCCACCATTTCAGTGGAATATTTTGGACATTTTGTATACGCAACACTACTTGAAAAACGCGATTATTCATTGACGCAACGCTAACTAGAAAATTATTTATGAAAATTATTTCTGCCTCTGCATGCAAGAAAAGTTACTACTCACATCCCGATGAGCACAAATCAGGAAACAAATCTAAATTGTAATATAATTATCAAAAAAGGTTCAATAATTTATAATAAAAATTGAAAAAGACAATCGCGATATCAAATTCGCAACACTAAACCAAACACGATCATCGTTTAATCGTAACGCTAAAGCAAACACGATCTTCATTTTATCGCAACTCTAATTCAAACCGCAATTATCATTCGCAACACTAATAAAAATCCGCGGTTTGTCCAATTGCCGATGTGTAAATCGGCCAATAAAGGATTGTTACTACTACTACTACTACTGCTACTAAATTCGAGCATAGTGACAAAACAATAAGAATCACTTTCCATCCAAAGGATGGAAAACCATTCTTAGGCACCCTCTTCCGTGACAATTGTCGGGTACCCTGGCTTTAGCCTCTTCTCTCTTCGGGCGCCATGCCCGCTGAAACTTAAATCTATGCTCGAGATTCTCTAATCGAAACAAAAATAAAAAAAAAGACAAATCGCGAAAGCTAAACGACACGCACGTGATCGATGAACGATCACAGTGCAAAACCTCGAGCGTTTTACGTTCGTTTCGAGCCAACCCGCGACCGCGACCGCGAAGGCGACCCAAAAGGGCGCCAAATTTGAAACATCGATAGGTAAAGGCGGAAGACGAATGACAACCCTCATTCGTGCCAACTTCACCGTCGATTATTCAAATTATGAATCCGGAAACAGGTTGGTCACGCGAAAATATGACCCGCGACCAGAGACTGTGACAACCTGCTCCGGCCCTACCTACTTATAATTATTAACAAACACACCAGACGGTAAGTTACCTACCTACCTAACCCTATATTTAAAAGATTGCAAAGACAGGCATTCCAACACACCACACTCCACGGTTCTCACACATGACACCCGGGCGCAAGGGTCCTACACTACGGTCTACGTCCCGGGACGCATCCGACACCCGAGTTTGGCATACAACTTACACACTCTAAGGTTACGTACCATTTCCTGAAATCGACTCACGTAGGCTAGTGACCATTGCGTCAAATTTTATATTTGATATTAATAATAAAAATGGGAGGCAGATGCGCATATGTAATGTTTAAACATATGCGATGTTAGAATAAACGAAACGAAATTTGAAATTATTGTTCCAATTTGATAGTAGGATTAGCGACGCTATTACATTGAGTAGTAATCTTTGCCGATTACTATTTTGAATTAAAATATTTATGTCTCCAATAATATATATTGTATGTGGTGTAATGAAGCCGACGCAATTCCACAGCCTAACCACACGTACTCCATGTGGAAAATACGTCGTGCACGATACACTAACGCAACGTGAGTCGCCGAGAAAACATTATGAACTTATAGACTATAGTCATCATACCCATTGCCTTTCCCCCACCCACGTAGCACCTGAGCACGTGAGTGGGTTCCTGGCAATGGACACGGAAGGGGTTAAATCTGAAAATCCTGAGCTAAAATGTTCATTAGTATATTTGTTATATATCTAAAGGACTAATAATTACTTTGCATTAATTCGTTTTACTTCAAATTACGAGAAAAGTATTTTACTAATTCAATGTATTGTGAATATTGAAAATTAATTTATAATATTGAAAAGAAATATTGAAAAATAAAAATAAAAGAATATTGAAAAATAAAATATTTATGAAAATAACCTTAGGCGATTCTTTCATCAAAGCAAATTTTCTAAAATATAAAAATGGAACATAAAGCTTGCTTTAATTCCAAAATCTGCCTATCGCGATGTTTCTTCTTGCACATATGTAATACATTCTTGTACGTAAAGTATTGAACTTTCAAATTATTCTGAATTTATTTATCTACTTTATTTATTTTTATTTATGAATATATTTATATGAATCCGTATATTCATAAGTATATTTGTCTTTTACAAATATAATTGAATATATTTAATTCAATATATTTTGAGTTTACAAAGAATTATGGTAAATTTATTTCCAATCACAAGTATTCAAACTAGTTATCAATATCGTGCCAATAATATAGTTTCATTATTACATCTGTTATATTATTGGAATTCAAAAACGCGATGTGCAAGAAGACCTAGCCTGAATTAAAAAATAGGAAATACAGAAAAAATGATATTATTCACGGGTATAATAAATACCCGTGGGTCACTATGCTCGCCAAAAATTCTACGTAATACAACCAGTCACCCGTGCCGATTCGGATCTTTCATCCTACGACATGATTGAGTGACCGGA